TGCTGTGAAGTAAGTATCCTTGACACCTTTCAGGGGAGGATCTGAAGGAGATTTCCAAGGAGTTTGTCTTGTGTTTTGCGCATTTGTTGCTATCCAAGTACTGCTTCCAGCCCAAACTGCAAATCAGAAAGTCCATGGGCTTGTTTGAGCAGGGCTATTCATAGCAAATCAGGTGGGCAGCAGAAGTGGGATCCTGCGCCGCCCCTTGTTTGTTCTTAATTTAAATGGTAACAGGTAAATAACCTGGAAGAAAGCTGTTCCATACGTTTGGTAAAGAAAGGATCTGCTTAATAGCAGTTTGACGTATTAGAAACACGCTAGAGATTTCTGAATGCTGCTTAGCTGTAAGATCTTACCTTTCACTCTGTGTCTAGTGACTCAAGTGAATTATTCTGTTGTTACAAATTTCCTCAATTTCTGAAACGTTTAGGTCCAGGAAAGCCAATGATGAATGTACACATCTGATAGTTTAGAGCACAGACATGAGGAAAATGCTGGCTGGAAGATCTAGGTTTTGTGCGTGCAGCTGAGTTCAAGAAAAAATACAAGTAGAAGCTTGTTTTGTAGTTCTTTTACATTTGCAGCCTATCTTCTACAAAATCTACTCCTTCTGAGTATCAGATTAAGAAGAAAAAAAAACCCTAAGCTGTAATGTATAAATAGTCTAAAGCAACTGTGTTTCAGTTGTTTCCAAACAGTCCTATTATTACATGTGGTACTTAAGATAAATTAAAGCCCTAACGTGAGGCTTGACTAATTGCACTCACTGAAGTCTCTCCAGCATTCAGCCAGCTAATGTTGAGCATGTTGCCTTCAGCAGGAGCTTTCACTTAAAAAAAAAAAAAAGGTTAATATGGTCTTGGAATATTAATTGCTGTAATTAGAAATTAAGTCTGCTAATTCATTAGTTTTCTAATAAGAGTCTATAGTGACATTGTACAGGCCTTCAAAGGCTATGTTGGTTTTCATTTGGGGGGCTTTTTCATGGTCATGATTCTTCAGAAAAGAAGCTCCTCCGGCGTTGTCTCCGCGTTGCTCTGCATCTCTGCCCTCGCTCCCCATGGTGGCTCTCCCCCCAGCAAAGGTGGGGAGCCCCAAGCAGTAACTTCACTCCCTTCTGCCAGTCTCTTCAGAATTTCAGTGTTGAAGAGCTTAATAAAAATGGGAAGAGCGAGCAGGGAGGCGACCCAGCAGGCCCTTCCAGTGTGTTTAACAATGATTTTTCAAAAATAGGAATTTGACGTGTTTATTGAATCATGCACGGAAGTGACTCTCAGTTGGTCCTAATCTTAGGAAGAGGTGAAGCAGGCCTCACTGGTTGGTTGGTTGGTTGGTTTTATACGCATGGGGTATCTGTATGTCTTGGGCATAGCCCTAGAAACAGAAAACGATCATTTCTCTAAGATAGGACCTTCCTGCAGAAGTGGCACCGCCTCCAACCGTGTTCATCCCCTCCCCTGCCTGGGAATACACGGCTAGTGCGGATGCGCGGGACAAGCCCGGGCTGGCCTGCTGCGGCACGTGCAAGGCTGCCGGCCCCGGGGTGTCCCTGCCAGCTCCCCGTGCTTCCCGTGCTGCTCTGTGACGTGTTCCTGGTGCCCGTTCCAGCCGTCCTGCCTGCATCCCCACCGTGCAGCCCAGGGTGGCGCAGCAGGAGCGGTTGGGATTGCAGCCAGTCCTGCCAGGCTTCTCCTTGGGTCTCCATTAGTTTGTTCTGGCTCCCAGTAGGAGATATTTCCAGAATGTCATTGCTCTGATGGCCAGAAATGTTCTGCTTTCCAGTTTATCTTATCTGTTGTTACTTGCTTCCCTGGTCACCTCATTGCGTTGGTAGAATCTTATTTCTTTCTGGTTTGGTTTGTTTAACCAATGCTTTCTGTTCATCTCATAAAGTAGATTTCCAGGTCAGTCCAGTTTGCCAGATTGGGCTTTGCTTGGAATGAGTCTTTCCTCCTTTGCTCGAGATACAAGTTGGAAAGAACTCTGCACAGTGCAGACCGCAGTGAGGTCTGGAGTTTCCCAGTCCAGTGTGTTTCCCTGTGTTCCCCATGGAACTGCACATACCCTAAAAAAACTAAGCTTGCTTCCTGCCTAATCAAAGCAGAGTCAATTTGTGGTTGTTTGTACCAAAGTTGTCCTCATTACGTAAGAACAAGCAGAGAAGAGTTTATTCTGTTGGTTCTGCATCTTGGACTCGGGAGCTGGCGGGCTGTCACATGCAGGAGTAACTGGCTTTGCCATTTTCCTAGATTTGTTCTCCAATGTGCACGACAATGTTAGTCTCCCGTGCTGACAGAATTCCCAGTTCTGCACTGATGTCAGCTCTGACCACATCCACAGCTGGTGCCAGAATCCAGGAGAACACTCAGCATCACTCGTAGATGCCTTCAGCCACCTTTCCATAGCCTCATTTTAATGCAATCGTTTTCCATGCTCTCTCTCTCTGCTTCATTTTGGATGGCCATCATTTTGTTATCACATCATAGTGCTGCGCCAGAGAAAACTGGCATTTCTCTTCCCTCGACAGCTCTAACTTTTGACACTTGTTTCAGTCATAAATGCTATTCCATGCTGGCTTTGAATTTTCCTGTAATTGCAATAGTACCTTGAGTTCCTCTTTTGTCATTATGTCCCTCTACCTGCTTTGTTAGCAGACAGCTCTTTCAGTTGGGGGATTTTGCTTAACTTTACTTGCTGCTTTGGACTGCATTTGGCTCCCTGGTTAGGATACATATAGCCCTTTTCACGGAATCACAGAAGGGTTGAGGTTGGAAGGGACCTCTAGAGATCATCCAGTCCAACCCCCTGCTCCAACAGGGACACCCAGAGCACAGGGCACAGGGTGGCATCCAGGTGGGTTTGGAAGATCTCCAGAGAAGGAGACTCCACAACTACTTATCATTAGTAGCATTTTCTCCTTCAAATCACTGTTTGTCTTATACTTTTTGCCTTTTGCTGTCCGGCTGGCAGGGGAGTTCGGGCTCCTGAAGAGCGTGCCCAAAAACCACCTTGGCCTGGCGAGCGGGTTGCTGAGCGGGGGGACTGCCAGGCTTTCCTGATGGTCCCTCAGGCCTTATCCAAGATGCTTATCGGGCCTTATCTTGTCCATCCCGGACATCCTACACTTGCTGGACCGAGAGGAGCGGGCTCCGTCTTGGGGCTGCAACCTGCTCAAGGTGGACACAAGTTTGCTGGGAAACACATGAGAGAGCCAACAAGTGCTTGCAGAAAAGACTTGTCTAGGACAGATAGCTTTATGTGGACTTAAAGGGCCCCAGTTTTGTAGAGGGTTCTCCATGCTGCCAACCACCCTTTCCCTTTGCTGGGAGCGAAATCCCTAAGCAGAAGGGGCTATATGCAATCTTGGGATTGAACAGTGGTCAGCTTGATGTCTCAGATAAAATACACATCTGCCAACTGGAGCTGAGGCCGCAGCAGTCAGTTAAGAAGACAGCTGAAATTCCCAGTCTGGGATTTGGTGTGGAAACGATGGCTCAAGAAACTGTTCCTGTGCTCTTCAGCGCTAGACTTGCTGGCCGTGGCTTTGGCCATCCCACGTTCCATGGTCAGCACCACAAGCCGCATGGGCTGGACGTCAAGTAGGATTTTACTGTTGCTTTTGTGATGGGTAGATTTTATTTTCACATCTTTCAGCATTGAAAAGGACAGTTGCACATCAACGAGAGAAGTTCTTTCTAATAAACCAAAAGAAAGCAAGTTTATTCCTCCTTTTTTTTTAAGCAGAAAATGTTGTGTGCCAATTTTATGTATAAAATATATATCTTCTATCTCCATAGTCATCTCTCTCCAGAGATTTTTATCTTGCGCTGATAAAATATATATCAGGGTCGTTACTCTTTTTAACAGTTAACTGATGTTAATCTTTACTGATGAGATCAGAAGTTACAATGATGTGTTTTGTTTTCAAGTACTTTCCAGAACATAGATGAACCTTTTTGATAAAACTGGCATGTGCAAAATCTTCTGCAGCTCTTTCTCCTACCCTTCTTTTCTAGTAACGTTAATATTTTGAACAAGAATAATTAATGTAACTGTTTGTTTATAGAGTGTTTTAACTGATAAAATGACAGTGCTACAAAACAGGAATTGTATGTGGAGCTCCGTGACGATACAAATTTAACAAAGAGGAGGAGCAGGAAAGTGGCTTGTCTTTTAAATGCTCTGTGTTCTTTGAAATTAAACTTCATGTGTTTGTTCACAGTAATTTGTGTGGCAGTTTGCTTGGCAGCAATGCAGATTAACTTAAAAACCAGGAAAAAGTAATGCCTCATTTAGACCCGTGCCTTTCTTCTTCTGTGTCTCATACTAGATCCTTTCAAAGGAGTGGGAGAACCACTGTGACTGCCAGACCAGTTCTCTATTTCTAGTGAAATAACTTCTTCCTGACCTCTATAGTAAGCTTTCCAAACTCCTATTCTCGGTCTTTCATGTGCTGTTGTTGAGGTATGAATATCATTTCTTATTTTTTTCTCCCAAGATCCTGATTCTGAATCCCATGTTCGTTTACAGTAGTATTCCACAAATATTCCATTTATTTTAAAGCCCTACTCAGCCTTATTTAGCTGTTTCAGAGTTGGACTCCATGGCATTTTATACGGAGGAGTTTTCCTGAGGTACAGTCCTTCGGAAGGAAGGAAGGAAGGAAGGAAGGAAGGAAGGAAGGAAGGAAGGAAGGAAGGAAGGAAGGAAGGAAGGAAGGAAGG